ATTTTATCTTCCTTTGATCTGAGTGTTGATCTTATATTTATCCATGAATTTTCCAATTGATCGATAGATTGGATTGATTTTGCCATGTTTGTTGGTTGCTGACTGAACTGAGTGCCAAGCTTCTAACAATTCTCTGGTGTTTTTAGTATCCCAAAAACCCCCATATTGTTTTCAGTACGTCCTCTATCCAAGATTTCAACCTTTTTCTAGTCGAATGTGTATCCACAGCTATCTACACGCATTGATATAAGCGAAGATTTGTCATGGAGTTTGGCCGCTAATTGATGTCCATGTAGGTGAACAAATAGGAGACGTCTCCTTTGTCCGATATAGTGTTTTTCGGAATTCGAACAGTTTATTATGTAAATGACGTTCAGTTTTCTTTTTTTGTCATTTCGTTCTTTGGTCTGCAAGGGACAGATTGAAGTGATTTTGCTGGTTTTTGTGTTGCACTTATTTCCAACAGCTTCAGTAATCTAGTTGTAATTTATGATTCGGCCCTTAAATATGGTAGAATGATCCGTTTGCTGGTCTCTATACATGATTTCGTAAATGTTGATGACTCGGGTTGATATTTTTTGATGAAGCTGTGTGGATAACTGTTCTTTCAAAGTATAGTGATTACATATTTTTCTTCATTTTTCCGCCCTGCTAGTGTGCTACAGTGTGTTTTCATCCTCATGAATAAAGTTTGTACGCAGTTGATTTTGTGAGTTATTGGGTTTTTGTTACTGTGGTTGGAAACCTGATCTGTGTGTTATCTTCCGGTGTACCTGATTCTCCAGTTATCCTATGTCGGTTCTGGTGATCAGTACACCTAAGAATGAAAGTTTGTGGTCCAACTCCTTTTCCATTGTGAATTTTATGTCATCGAAGACGTTGTTGATCAGATTATAGGCGTTTTACAACACGTCCCCTTAGATGATGACTAATGTGTTATCAACATAAATCCAAATTTTTGGCTTGATCTCTGATAAGACCGAGGCTTGCAGTCTCCGAATCACTGCTTCTGCAATAAGTCCTGTTATTGGTGACCTCATCAGTGTTCCTTACGTTTGTTCGTAAATTTTATTGTTGCATTGAAAATGTGTTATTAAGCATAAATCGATTAATTCTAGTAAACTCTTACTTTGAAGCTCCATCTATTTATTGAGATTTGTTTCGTTCATGAGGAGAAGGGGTGGAGTTTCCTTTGCTAAGCAATTTTTAATCGAAGTGAATAAGGCTGTTACATAGAAGGATATCATCAGTTCATCGTTGTTGGTTCAAACCTCCCTAGTCTTTTCCAAGGATTGTATGGGAGATTTAATGGAGTCTTTAGATGAGCCTATTAAATGTTTCAATATTCTTAAATTTCTCTAGATAAACTGTTTGTTGGGGTTCCAGCGATTTTTGCAATTAGACATATGTTGTTGCTTAGCTTGTTCCATTTAGACCTACAGTAAAATCGAAGGAGTACTAGTCTATTTGATTTCATTGTCTATTGATTTTGCTTTGATATTTATCCCTCTTTGATAAAATTGTTTAAAGTCCTTGAGATGTGAGAAATTCTAATAAAATGTGTCTACTAATATTGTCCAAATATACTTGTAATAAAACGTGTTTAATCTATTGCACTGAACCAGGTAGTGTTAGTAACTAATATTAGCCGAAAACTTAGATCATTCGATTCGAACTAAAGACTTATGCCAAATGGTTCTTGGTATGACTTAGTTTATGGTTTTATATGACTAGCACCTGAGAAGTTCAACTGTAAGCTAGAACAGATGTTTTTTTATTGATTTGCAGGCTGATGCTGGCTCTTTGTACAATTGATTGATAACTGAGTAGTGGCCAATATCATATATGTCTTGTAATTTGATACTTAAAACTTTCATCGACCAAATTGCAATGTTATTATTAATCAAACTGACTCGACTACAGCCACCAAACGTTTCAGTACAGTGCATGAGATGAAAAGATATTCAGACTAGTGAATACACCACAAGTTGAATGAAAGAATTTGATCTGCGTTGATAGGCATGACAAAATTGACATTGGTCACTAACTAATGACCTTATCAGTAGAAAAGGTTTGAAAAGCTCAATAATAAAGTCTCAGACTGTGATGATTTTTACAATTCCAAAACAGAACATCAGTACCTTAAATAATGTAGCTAGCACGAAACTGATGTCAGAGGTTTTCTGCCAACTCTTTCGAGCACTAGCATCACTTTAACAGAAAAGCTAGTTATAAATTGAACATATTGTGATGTATGCTACTTATGTCGACAGATATAGTTAGTATGTATCATCAACCGAAGGTGGATTACCTGGTAGTAGAAGGTTGAGAATATCAAATAGAAGAGAATAGGAACAAAGAGTAATTGGTATGTAAATGAAGGAACAATAAAGTCTGAGATAATTAACGGACTTTTTTCTTCATATTTGAGTTAACCTACATTTGGTCATCCCTATCTGTGTTTTCGTTCATTACAATACCTCCTAGACATTCAATTAAATAATTATTAAACATTATAAGATTTAGCTTTGTTTTATATTGTTCATAAATTTATAATAATGACTGACATTAATACCTATTAAATGTAAAAAAATTATTGAAATGAAGAATAAGACGTATTTACAACAACAAAAATTACATAATACCAATCGTTTATAAACAAAATCTGGTAAGACTATAGTTTATGAACGACCTTTGAGAGACGCTAAAGTGACCTTGAGCGTGTCTATCTACTAAATGAGGGTAATAAAATAGTGTGAGGAATCAGAATTATGAGTTACAGTTGATGGTTTGGGGTTAAGAATTAGACTCAAGGTTTTCATCATGAACTGATATCAGCTATCATGCCAAAACTCTATTTAGCCAAATGGGTGAATGAATTTTGTGCCAAAATCTAGGACCTGTTATCCTTAATCTGATTGGTTCGTCCATAAATTATAGTCTCACCCAATATCTTGTTGATTTCTTTGTTTTTTCCATATTTCATTCAGTTATTTTTCTGAATACTTTAGTCGGCATAATATGGTTCTAATAATTTACATTGCAGAAGAAAACTTATATTATTATCTATCATTTTCATTATAGCTTACAACTTCCTCTGTCTTAGAAAACAATAATTCCTCATTGTATTAGTGTTTTTAACGATAACAATACCTTCTATTAACATATAACACGAAAACAATTCGTAAACAATATTATGATTCTATATGAAGAGAAAAGACATCAATTCATTGATGTATGATCTTTCCTATATTTATGATACATTATGATACTTTGTCCTTTTAAATTTTATCAGTAACATTCTGGTTAATTTAGAAACAATGTCATATCCGGGTATTTTATATTAATGCTAAGAAAAAGTGAAATGACGAAAACATTTTTTGTTATATGAGACTGTTTGTAGTAGTGTGATGTGTGCAACTGATGTCGACAGATATAAGTAGTATGTATCACCAACCGAAAATGGAATACCTAGCGAGAGAATGTTAAAAAGATTGAACAAAAGAGAACAAGAACAAAGAGTGATTGGTGTGTAAACGAAGGAACAGTCAAGTCTGACAGACTGCAAATGAGGAATTTACTGTATGATTCTCAGATTTTATCAAGATATTCTGTAATGTTGTGCATCTGATCCTCGCCACCTGTGTTCTCGTTCATTACATTAGTAGTAGTATTACAATAACTACGACAACGATTTTCTATTCTAACATATCAGTTTAACTTGTTGATTACAACTCGTCTCCTTAACGCGGTTATTTGCTTTTATCCGTCATGTACAATACTTATTTAAAAATACTAATGATGTGAGTTTGTTTTGATAGTAATTTGTAGTACTTAAGAATCAATTGACGTGATATGTGTCATTTTCAATTTATACCATGAACAAGGTCAATGTTAATGTTCTTTCTATTGTAGAATAATACTAAGTAGAGGGTTGTGGAGATAGTTAAGTTTCATTGAAATCATGAATGTTAAACCATCAATGCAAACCTACGAGCACTGAATAGCCGTTTCGTCCCAGTATGGGACTCCTCAACATTACTCACTATCAACCTTATACACGGGAGTCTAACCCAGAACCTAAGATTTAGAGAGTGGATGCATAACATATTAGTTATCATGTTTGAACTTATAACTGCATAGCTTGATGAAAACTTCACTGATAACGATCATTCACTTTAAATACTCTACTTATTCGGAAAAGTATTTGTTGAAATTAGTTCACTAGATTATTAGATTAATATTTCTACCCACTCTGGAACGTTTTTGTATGTCAAACCTAATACTCGTAATATTCGCTAAATTGATGGAAAACGTTTTGACAACTACAACTATTGATATTTTGTCTGTCATGAGTTATAAACGCAGAAATGAAGAAATAACTAAACCATAACATCAATTTTAATTCCAGGAATGATTACCATGTAAGAAACAATGTTTAGAAAATGTTTTATTAATATAATAAACTGTAATGGCTTTACTTCGTTTATCAATCCCCTTGATAACCGTTATTACATAAATCTCAACGGTGTTTGAAATCAGAAGGCAACAAGAAGTGGCAACTACAGTTTATTAGCAGACAGCGTAGATCATAAAACTATAAGCACATCAAGTGAATTTGAAGCAGAGGCGAATGAATGTATTTCAGCAAATACATAGGCAAATTTATAATCAAATCGTACCAGGGCACAGTAAGACAAAGCAAAGGCTAGTATTAGGATTCGAGTACATATATACATGGGGAAGAGAACGAATCATCGAGTGATATTTAAGCAATCAACATTTTAGCTAGTCTGTCATGTGATCTAGTGATCATAAAAGTACAAAGAAATAGACGAATTATTACTATTCAAATAACATTGTCTATTAAGTAAGTCAATAAAAGGGCTTAACCGAAATTAACCATAATCAAAATTGGTTGTAGGGTAGTTGCTATAAGAGACAAATGAATTTCTTCCAGTTATTTCATTGTTTCTTATAAATATTTTTGATTATTTCAGCCTATGTCTACGATTCCTCAACACACATATTGCACCATTTATCGTCATTTTGGGTATAATTGGCAATGTACTATCTATTATTGTATTAAGAAATCGACGTATGAAATCGCCAGTTTCAATTTATTTAATCAGTTTATCAGTATTTGATATATTATTATTGGTTTGTGCTGTTGTATTATTTTTTGAATATCCTTTTGCTGAAGAAGATAATTCATCATTTTTACTATCAATGCATAATTCTTCAACAGAAGATCATGTTAACACATTAAATAAATTAGTAAATAATATAACTGATCATACAAAAATCAATAATATAACTACAGCACATCGTATTTATGCACTTATTCAAGCACATTTCATTTATCCAATTGCATTAACAGCACAAACTTCTGCAATATGGATTACAGTTAGTTTAACAGTGGAACGATATATTGCTGGATGTTATCCTTTACATGCAAATGTATTATCATCTGTACCAAAATCTCGTTTAGTTGTATGCTGTTGTATGATATGTGCAATTGTTTATAATATACCAAGATGGTTTGAAATTACAACACAATCTATAAATACAACTGAATTAATAAAAGAATCAAATTTTTCACAATATTCAATACAATACGATTGGCATTCAATATTTCGTCTTGTTTATTATACATGGGGATATATACTAGTAATGTTTTTATTACCATTAATTGCCTTATTAGTAATGAATATTCGTTTAATGTATGCATTGCGTAGATCTGATTTTGCTGTATGTAAAACATTACATTCAACACAATATTTAGATAATCCACATAGTAATACAAATACAATAGTTGATGTGAATTCAAATATTTATGCAAAAACTTCTACAATATCAAACAAATCAATTACTAAACAATTTCCAATGAGATTTCAACGAAGTGATCATTGTAAATCATGTAAATCATTAAAAACTCCATTTACATTATATGGTCCAACACGTTTAGCAATACAAGCAGATAAAAGTATAACACGTATGATTATTGTTGTAGTCGGTGTATTTATTGCATGTCAATTACCAGCATTAGTATTTAATATTTATTTTGGTATTGTATCACCAAAAGTTTTACCATATGGTTGGTGTGCATTATCAGAATTACGTAATTTTTTAGTTGTAGTTAATTCAAGTGTTAATTTTATTGTTTATTGTGTAATGGGAGCTAAATTTCGTCGAAGTTTTATTCATGTCATTACACCATGTTGGGAGATTAAATTAGCTAATAATACTAATAATAATACACGTAAACCTACTGTCCGGTTAATCACTTTACGATCAGATGTAACTGAACTTCAATGAATCTTATCTTAATTTCTTTTTTCTAAAAAGAAATTTGTATATTTCTTCACTTGTCTTTCCTATAAACATACTTTCCTTTGTATGAAAATGAAGTTAACACTGATAATACATGTAAAAATGAAATACCACAGACTTTTAATAAAATTTCTAAAGAATAAAGACTATTGTTACTAATTTACAGTTTAAAACGATGTATTATTTTAGATATTTAAGTTAGTCTGCTTATAGCTTATTGATTAGAGTCATTGTATCCATGAATAGATAAGATATTTTCTCCATTTGGCGTGTTTAGTTTTCACGTTAGTTACATGATTGAACACTAACAGTTATCTAATTATCAGAATGACAACTGGGAATTTATTTACATTTTCACATACGTAGAAGAGATATCACGAAAGATTTTAACGAAATATTTCTTTATTTTACATAATGGGACACAATGTCTATCAGTCTGATGTATAAAAGAATAATAATAATATTTAATGGGTTGATGTGATGAAGCAAAACTCAAATGAAAAATAATTATTATCAGAAGGAGTTTTGTGGAGATTTTACCAGTGGAGTTCAACCAGGTCTGTTGTGAGATATCAACTCATTGAAGACAATGGTGTACGGTGGCGCAACTTCGTCGATTGGTTGAAGTTAGACATTAACACCGTTGGATGCCAGCTCAGTAGTCTAGTTGGTTAAGCGCCTGGAGCGAGACTGACAGGTCCTGGGTTCGAATTTTGGGAGGTGGGATCGTGAATACGCACCGCTGAGGAGTCCCATACTAGGATGAAACGGCCGTCCAGTGCTTCCAGGTTTTCCATGGTGGTCTAGCTTCAATTGACTCATGATTTCAATCAGGCAAATAATTATGTTTGAATAACGATTATTAGAAAGATTTAATTTTTGTAACAACAAAATTAGTTTCGATAGTATAATGAGACAATGGAGTAGATCGGAAACAATATGATGTAGTACATTTTGAATAAACTGATTACACACATCTACTTATTAGGGTATATCTTGATGAAATTAATTTGGTTCATTAAGGAGAAAGAATATATGATAACAATTTCAGCGATTGAATTTTAAGTAAATCTAACTTGCCGCTCGATAATCTAATCCAAGCTTTTTCAAGAAAGTATGATCAAATATCAGAATTATCGAATCTAGATAGGTACATAGTATACGGTTAACTATATACTGAACAGGTCATCTAATCATTTTAAGAATGTTTAAATTAAGTATTTGACGTAGTGCGTATGAGACATGTGGTTTGTAACAAAAAGTGTGTTAGAATAACAAGCTATGTGTATTCGTAAACGGATTTGAGTTGTGAGAAGATGTAGCAACACTTCTACAACTAATTTCGATTATGGTTAAAATTTGATAAGCGCTTTTATTAGCTTAACAGATAATGTTATTCGAACGGTAAAGATTCACATACTTCTCTGTACTCTTATGATCACTATCTTGTCTGTATATACGTGTGCGCTTGATCACATGACAGCCTACGCACGAATCACTCTCTACCTGAAATGTTAATCACTTAAATGTCGATCGACGAGTCCATTCCCATGTATATATGTACTCGATTCCTATTTTTAGCCTTTGTCTTGCTTTGCTGCGCTTTGATTCGATTTGACTATGACTTTGCCTGTGTATTTGTTCATATACACACATTCGCCTCTCTGCCTTAAATTCGCTCTCTGATCTTGTAACTTTATAATCTGTGCTATTCGCTAATAAATTGCAGTCGCCGCTTCATATTACCTTCTGATTTCAAACACCGTTGAGATTTATATAATAACGGTTATCAAGGTGATTGATTAACGAATCTAATCCACTACATAAAAGTTTTATTGACTATGCGGTCAGATTGTTTTAAATACATAGCGTAAATATCTTACATATTTCAGATCAACACAATTTATAGACCGGATTAATTAATACAATTTTCAATAGTACATTTTTCATTTCAGGAGCATTTAAGATCAACTTGGTTTATACATTATAATCAGTTACCATTTGAAATGATTATTTTCTTTAACTTGTAGCGTGGTCTCGAGTCGCGATTGACTATGAACATCACTGCAAGAAGACTACGTGCCAGTTAATCGATAAAATCTCCCGTAAGCCAAATATCAGAAAGCAGTTGATGGCTGTATTTGAGATGTATTTGTTGTCGATCTTGTGGTATCGAAAGGATACCGAGATCGTACCAAAGGAGTACAAGCGTGGTTACAGAGCGTAACCGAACCAGTGCAAGGTCACAATCGGAAGATAAAGGAGCAGTAATATAATTGTCTTTAGCACAGTTAAAAAACGACCACAGTAAAACAATCACTGGTACAATTGGTTATAATAATGATTGTTTTCATTAAATCGACCGCGTTCTCTTGGTAAAAGTAGGTCACTACAAACTAAACCTTAAATTCAGTATTCACTATCTACAAAACAATGTTATTAAATCTAAATACAATTCAATGTAGAAAGTTTTAGATCATGAAGAAAAAGTAGTCCCATTTTTGGTTCAGCTTCAGTAAATGTATAGGGAAAAAATTTTGAACATTGATGGATTTTTTAAAGTGCTCATCAAAAATTGATTTCATCATGCCACGAATCAGCTAATTTATAGTTTACAACACGAAATGTGTATAAATTGTTACCAAGAGAGTGTTTCAGACTAGTATGCAAAATGTTCATCTGTCAAAAACTGTCTGCTTAATGTTCTTTGAAGGTCATGAGATACAGACATATACTCCACTCTATTATGAGGCTTTTCAATAATGCTAACTTCTAATCTCACCGGGATTTAAGTCCAAAACCTTAAATAATGATGATAAGCTTTGTGTTTGTCTTGGATTTTCTAATTATCCCTATTATTAGCTTTCACAAACTCCCCATAGTAAACTAAAATGTGATTAGAATGTCTCATATTCACTTAAAACGTATTATCTAAAAGAACTACTTCTACGATGTACAACCAACGTGCAATTCAGATTTGACGATAATTTCTATAGACAAATGGATGGAGTTCCAATGGGTTCTCCATTGGGTCCTCTCTTGGCTGATTGTTTCATGGCCAATAATTGAGAGATTTCATTTATATGGATGATATTTTCATTATTTGTAGAGCGTATTTGATTTGCCGAATCAAAATCTTAAATGAATGTAAAAAGTGTTCCATTAGAGTAGAAGAAATCACACTCAATATTTTCTCATTGCTTTTAATAGATACAATCACTTTTTTCTCAGTATTAAATCATTTACTGTTAATGAAACTTTTACTTTTTAATATATTACCTCATATTATTAGTATTTTGTATAATACCACAGTTACTGATAATAAAAGATGATTTAGATAACTAAGTAAAACCGTACAGAATAGTTATTTGCTTAAGCCACTACTTAAAGTGTTTCTAATTGTAACCATCTGAACATTAATATAGATTACCAAGTTGCTTTCACAGTGTTAATGACTGATTTATCTCGTATTGAAATTATGACAAATAGAGTGATGGTATCAAAACAATAAAAGAACTGAGTCGTTTTCTGTGAACCCATTGCAACCTAAAACTAGAAATTACTTTTTATAAATCTGAATAGAGCGCTGTAAAACCTCTTAAAACATCTTGAAATCCTTCTGATACTAACAAAATCATTAAAAAGTAAGTTCATTGTAAGTTTAAAATATAACTCCGTTCTTTTCTTAAATTTACTCTGATATTTTTGAAATAAAAATATCACATACATAGTAGGACTTTATCTGAAAAGCTACAACCTTCATGGTATTATATTAATTCAGGTCCTAGTAAACTGTATATGTTTCAAAATAATTTCAACGTATTCAGGATTTCAAATATTTTTGTGTAATAATTTGAGAACTATCTTCTCTGTAAAGTAATCACCAATTTTAATCGATATCTTATTCTTTATATTTAATTATTACTTATTTAAGCCTATTAACACTCATTGAGGAACATAGGCCGACCACCAGCAGTCTCTATCCAACTCTTACTCAACCAATCATTTCCACTTGCTATTTATCCATTTGATGACTGCCTCCAATTCTCGAAACAGTCTGTTCTTTGATCTTCTTCTTTTCTGCTTCCCTTCACGATTCCATGTTAGCGCATGCCTCGTGATGCAGTTTGATGATTTTCAAAATGCATTTCCTGTCCACTCCCAACATCTTTTCCTAATTTCCTCTTCATCTCAAAACTGGTTTGCTCTCTCCTATAGTACGTTGTTGTTGATAGTTTCCGGCCAACGGACATTCAGCATTTTGCGTAGACAATTGTTTATAAATACTTGTACATTTTTGATAATGGTTGTGGTAGTTCTAGAAGTTTCAGCTCCGTCCAGTAGAACTGACTGTTTCATACACATAGTTCCCTTCATCATTTTGAAAAGAGCAAGAACAAAGATTCTAGCAGAATAGCATGAATTCATTTTTATTTCGTAGGTTCTCGTCAGCTGCTTACAACCTGTGATATTTAAAAAGATAATAATTACATAATGGGTTTGAATTGCTTACTGAATATTGTAAATATATACCTAATGTGAAGGAATATTCTACAACATTAATTGTGACAACAGTTCAAAAGTGGGTTAGAAACAATTGATTACATAATGAATAACATTGATAGGAATACAGTGAGTAGAGTTCAGTTGAAAGATTATTAATTTGAAAGATAGTTGAAAAAACAAAATAGAATCAATGATGTAATAAATGCGAAAGAAAAAAGAAAACTTTTATAGTGCAGTGAAGGAATATTTGTCACCAAGGCAAGGAAAAATTAGCCACCGTCTCCTTTTGAATACATAGATCAGGTTTTTGACGCCTGATGGCAATGGCTTCAGCGAGCTTCAGAAGACTGGAGTTTGGCTGCTTACAAATCACCCTAAATGATTGTAAGGTATCTACCTGATGTCCTGTATCAAGGAGATGTTTGGTGATTGCATTGCTTAGAGTTTTTCTTTCCCTTGTTCTAAGGCTTTTTGGAACATGTTCAAAGAATCTAAGATATGCTCTCCTTTCACTTCGGCCGATGTAGCTGCTTTGGCAGGTACACGTAAATTTATAAATACAGTTGGCGGTAACCTGAAAGGGTTGCTTGTCGATCTTTGATTGGGTTATTGAACATGTTGTTTTATAG